GAAGTATGCGAATCAAATTTACAAAATTTTCAATATTCATTAGTAAGTCACTCATTTTCCAGCAACATCCAATGATCTCGATCGTTATATAAAAGTTATCGGTGAAATCGTCTTGATTTTCAACGTTAAAAACAATGTCTAAGAGTAGAGTTAACAAGAAACCGTGCGACACGAGGAACAAAGCAACCGTATACATACAGTACAAAAGCTTCTTGGGCCGAGATGTCCAAGAAGCTGGTCGCAAACAGCCACACAAAGTCAGAAGTACAAGCACGTATCTTAGTATATCCATTATCTATTATAGAAACACTTTTATAATTTTTTCGTACGCATTAGTATCAAGCAGCACAAAAATCTCGATGTTTTACAAATGAATTTTTTGTTTCAATTTACGGCTGTCATGCGGACCACAACTAACTCGCACAACAATGTGCTGCTACGATTACATTCCAAATCACCGTGGAAAGAAGAAGTTAGAACTATACGCTGTGAATTGCAATTTGAGAAAATACGAACAGGAGGAGGATTTTGTCTCCGCGGTCCTGACTTTACTGAACGAAGGTTCAGGTATCACTGAGAACATCGAAAAAGACTGTAGATTATCGACGTTTCTTGTTTGACTTCAGAAAAGTAACCCTCTTGCTGTTGGTTTCCCTTCCGGTTCGCGAGCTATGCGTTTATCGTAATGATGGAGAACGCGACGACACTACTTACGTATTTATATTTTGTGAGAAAAAATATACTTCTTGCGATCCGTAATTCTACCTTATTCTATGTACTATGATTTGCGTTGTAAAATCTGGTACAAAGTAACATTTTGCGTGGAATCAAATATGGCGAATGTTGCTACGGAAAATGGAAAATAAATGTTTAAACAACGAGAGATACTTTGTTCTGCTTTTGGAGTTGCTACAGTCATTTTGTGTACGTTCCTAACGTTATTCGCAGACTTTTACTTCTACTCAGAAACGACATAGGAAGTCATTGTATCGAAGGCAAGTTATAAACTATCATTAATGTTTGTAATAAAATTTATTCTTATTCGCACCTAGTGTGAAACAATACATACTCTAAGACAGTTGCAGAACGTATATGATTTCATTTTCTTCCTTGTTTGCCCCAGTCTCTATCGTTCTTCGGGATTTAAGGGGTTAGGTCTAGTCTGCGACGTGAAAAAATGGCTATTTAAAATAATTTTGTTTGTACAGCAGTTTTAAATATTTTATAAAACAAATAATACTAAGTTATGTTCTAACTTTATTTGACAAAAATGTCAAAACAAAATATTTATTGTAGACAGAGTTATTGCCATATTTGTTGAACCCTGTTCTACAAATAGTGCTTTGCGGAGACCATTATAACGTTTTACTGGTTCATCTAAAATCAATCCAGTACACAAAAATCATTAGTTTAATAATTAATAAAAACCCTTTCTTTTTTTTTAAACTAACAAAATGGTAGTCTGATCATTTACTTACGCATTTTCAAGAAAACATGCGCATATATATTGTTTATAAAAATTGAAGTTTTCATCAAAATGAAAACCTTTGTTCGATAAATGGTTTTTTATACCTAGAATAATATTTACGAATTTCATTCAAATCCGTCGAGTAATTTTCGAGTTACAGTGGTATGAAAACTAGTTTCGATAAAAACAGGTTTAAAGTTTTACACTTAGTTTATGTTAAGAAACACTAGTTAATTCATTACTTACACTGAGTCGTCTATTCCTGAGCCATATAATTTTGATTATGAGAAACGTGTTCTCGTTTGGTTCAGCGCGTTGGTACGAGCACCAAGGAACATTACCTTTAGTAATTTTAGGAAATCTTGAAAATGATTCATCGGATTAACTTGAAATTTGCAGAGAATATTTTCATGATAAAAATGAAAATGCAAAAGAAAAATCAATTTGTTGATAATTCTGACTAGATCTAACCCCTTAAGACTATTTTCGTCGCAATATACCTAGCGTTGAAGCATGTTATACGCCGAGTAAGACGCCTTCAGTATCTGTAATCAAGAAATATTTAAATTTTAATTATGAATCACATTATACCTTATCGATTAAATTTGCAAATGTGTTAGGGACTTCAATACATGCAAATTATAACGTAATTCACGTTAGCCACTAATTTTGATTATTCAAACTATCATTGCAGTGATAATTATAAAAGTATACCTATTCTCTGAGATTTTAACCTGTGAAAATGGAAAAGTTCAGTCCTTACTGCCAAGTATAAGCACTCGATAATTTTGACAATGCAGTGTTTTTGACATTGCAAAAATTATGTTTATGTTTCTTCAGTTGCAGCGACTCTCAAAAGGAGTGGTGTAGCGACTTTGTCGCCACCATGCCTCCGCTAAACTTTCTGCCACCGGACAATTTTATTGTTGGGGCTTGTAAATCGATACGGAGGGTCTCGTTTGGGATTCTAGGCCCAGAATATTGGGATTCTTCCCACTTTCCTCCGTATCGATTTCAAGAACCGCATGGTACTTACTGCATCAATGGGACCGCCCGGGGCCGAATCGAGTTTTCTCCTTGAAAATTAACAAACTTTGAAGCGTTCTATCTTCAAAACTAATAAAACTCGGGTAAATACATTAAAGCTTAATAAATTCGTCTTGAAAAGTACTATCGTATGGTATAAAAGAAAACATATAGTTCCATTTGAAAAACAAAACATGACCATCATATCTCGTTAAATAACAAAGTTAACAAAAATTCCTCCTGGCTGAAACATGAGCCCCATTTTACCATGCAATTTCCATATTTGAAATTTTGCATTCGACCGATAGTTTTGGAGTTAGAGCTTCGTATCACTTAGACTGGAACACCCTGTATAACCCCGCTAGATCGCAAGAAAAAGAGGCATTCCGTTTGTAACCTCGAACTTGTGCGATTCGCCTACGTGTTTCTTTATAAATTCCTTATAAATTAAATTGTGATGTGGATCATACGTGAACTCTTGTTTGATCTCCTTTATCTGATGCGCTGCCACAGTGAAAAGTAGCTGTCAAAATTAAACCTGCCAGGCCAAATTTTCTTTTATCTCTAACAAAAGTCGAACTGAGATCATTAGGTGTTCTGTTTTTCGTGAATCACCAGATATATTCTTATGCCAGATATAGTCTTATGCATGCATTATCATAGGATCCCTTAGTCTGTGGGTTCTCCGGACAAGTTATAATCAAAATTGTAATTAGTTCGTACTAACCGCCATAAAAGAAGCGAGGTTCATTGAGAGGATTTGAGCGCTTGTGAATTCGATGGGCGACGTCGAACGTAGCATAATTATCAGGAGGATCTTCTTAGCGCTAGGATTCAACGGTATCCATTTACTTTCATATATCATGTCAGAAACTTCGAGACTCTAGAGAGAGAAACATTTTGTAATGCTGGTTCCAAATTAAAATTATATTTTAATTAAAAATTAAATTCATTATCATTAAGTGGAACCTTCAGTCGAACTTCGTTCCCATACCAACAGAAGAATAGTATCTGCGTGAACGTGCAAGATGCGTAGAGTACGATCGCAACGTATTTCGTTCCCATTTCGCTTTGCGACAAACGATAAAGCTCAGAGCACAGAGTCGTTGTGCTCACCATAAACTGCATCATCATTATTACTTTAAATTCTTCGTTCACCATCGTAGCAAATCTACAATTAGGTGGTCAGAAATTATTTCATTGAGTCGTACTTATATTTACAATATGTTACCAAGTTATTAGCACACAGAGGAAGTAATGGGGGATACGAAGCAGTAAAAGACTTTTCTATGCTCGTTAGTTAAGAAATATAATATGTAGTTTTAATGGTTTGTAAGATTCCAGGAAACGATAGTCGATATTTTTTAAGAATCTTATTTATAAAACTTTAACACTCATTTCCTTGCGCTGTCAGTATTTTCTATTTTCACAGATAATTCAAGTTACTAATATTATATTTAGGTCTATAAACATCTTTTATATACACATATAATAACAATAATATATGATATAATAATCGCTTCTTTCAAACTATTTTTACTCTTTTCTATAGGACTCTTTTTCTCATAAATAATATAAGTTACTTCTATATGTCATTTGACAAAATATGCTTAATTTTGACCAAGGATGTGAAAAATAAATTTTTACTACTCTAATAATTATAATCTTCTGGAAATAGTCTGTAAAAATAATTGTTCACATCCTCGGTCAAAACTAAGCATATTTTGTCAAATGACATATAGAAGTAACTTATATTATTTATGAAAAAAAGAGTCCTATAGAAAAGAATAAAAATAGTTTGAAAGAAGCGATCCTCAGAAAATATTCTTTTTCCGAAAAAATGTATTTAACAACAATGTCATATCTTATTGAGATGTACAAATTTTGTTTAAGATACTTTTATTAATAACGGAAATAGAGAAAATTCAAATAAGTGTTCAAAGTCAAAAATCGCAATTATCAATTTAATCATGTATGTAAATATCAAATTGAAACTAACTATTTTCATCTCAAACGTTACTTTTTCTGTTGCAATATCGATTAATAGACCAACAATTTTACAATATTACATCATTTGTTTTACAACAGTAAAAAAACGTTTTTACTGTTCCAGAATAAACCAAAATTTTTAAAAATTTTAGAAAATTGTTTCACACTGGTTTATAGGCCTCTAAAAACAGTGCAATGTTTATTTGAACATTTTTTCGGTATCTCTTATCATTTTCGAGTTACACACGCATAAATGAACGGTGTGGCTCGGAGAAAACTTAGAAATTTCTAAAAGAAATCTGGGACTAACTTGTAAATGCGATTATGAAGACGGACACACTTCTTTAAAGAATAATTTCCGGGTTCGTTCATATCCTTCAGGCGGTGTCGGAATATCTCCAACAGGCAATACGTGTGTATCAAGAAACCGCTGAACAGACTGTCGCCGCCAACGTTCAGAAACGAGCAGATGGAACCGTTTACTACTTCAGAAACGAATGTAAAGGTAAACACAAGAGGTGAGGAATAATTGTACGGTAACCATACTCGAAACGCTAATTTTCTTGGATCGTCGTCTAAAAAGAGTGCCGTTGCAAACATCGCTAGTAAAAGAAACGACACGCCAATTCCATAAGCAATCGTGTTCAACCTGTTAAGAAAAACACTAGTATTAATCTTCGGTGATTATTTCTGTTATAAGTCTCGCAGATATCAGCGCTCGAAACTTAAATGCTACTGTAAGAATCGAGTGTGTAAGAATCGAGTCATTTTGAAACGGTCTTCTATTGTTTCGTCAACATTGCAGAATAACTTTTTCTTTTTCAATTAATGAACTGATCGATAAAAATATTTGTAGCAGGTGATTATCAAATTCATGACGAAGCTTGCTGCAATCTTGCTAAAACGTAGGAACAATACGTAAAAATGGTATGAATGTTAATCACGTTGCGATTAATAACGGCAATTGTAATGTACACTCACTCTGCGAATTTGTCGAATTTCTTTCGTATCACGATTTCATCAGTACTCACTGGCGCGAGAGGTTCCGTTTCAAGCGTGTCGAGCAGATTTACAAAATTCTCACGATTCTTCAACAAAATATCCATCTTCCAAAGAGACACAACATACTCCGCTGTCAAGTGCAAATTATCGCTGAAATCTTCCGCATTATCAACAATTAAAACTAAATCCAAAATTAGAAATATCGCCACGATGTGTGTCGAACACAGCAAAACAACCGTATATATAGTGTACAAAACCTTTTTGGACTTAGACGTCCAAGAAAGCGGTCGCCAGCAACCGCACACACTGAGAACCACAAACACCCATCGTAGTATAGGCATAATGAGCTTCAAAAATTCTTTCTTAATTTCTACATACGCAATAACAAGAAGTTGCACAGAAATTTATATTGGTTTGCAGTGAAAGTTCTGCGTTATATCTTCGTTCTTGTTCGTTATTTCAGCGAAATGGATATTGTAAAACTACCGTCAGAAATAACACAATGTTTTTCCAATTGAAACTTTGCTGGACGAATGTTTAGGTATAATTGACGGCTATAAAATATCAGCATTTCTCGATTACCCATGGAGGAATAAGATCTCCCCAGTTGCTTTCCCTCCAGGTTTACGGGCTATATGATTACCGTAATGACGTCGAATGCGGCGACGTCAATTAATTATTAATATTCTAAAAGTAACGGTACACTACTGCTGACTCGTAATAACAACTTAGTTTCCTTACGCTGTTTTTCGTTGCATTGTAATACAGAGTTACATGTTGCGAGGGAAAAAAATTCTAGAAGCTGATAACGAATTGGAGATGCAGACGACATACTGCTTGCAGCATGCAATGATAGAGGGGTATAAGATATTTTTAACAGGAGGTAGAGGAAAACTGTATTGGTCGTGGGCTACATATATAATACGAGTCGAACATCATGAAAACTGTATCGCAATGTACTTTTCAATAAAAAAAGGAAACTAAGTGTTTGAGTGGTTTAAAATGTGTGTTCCAATTGTGTGCTTCAACACTAACTAAAAAAGGAGATATGTGTTTTACGTAATTCGAATTGCATTCCATCCGAGAGACTACGAAAGAAATCGCTTTCATAAAAGGTAAGTTACTCATTAGCATTACAACATTAATTCACACGCCACTAGAATTTTCAAAAGTCTAATTGACGTTGCCTTGCCCTATGTACTCAATTTTTTCACTGGTTGGCAATTCCTCTTCTGAAGAAATTTTACTTTGGTTTTTGGTGTGTTTTTACATGTACAACTTCTTTATTTTTATCTTCAGAGAGATGTGTTCGTCCCTCTTTTACGGAAGAAATTGGATCACATTCTCATTGATAAGATGACTTATAATTATTACTATTAATAAGAAATAATTAATTTTATTACGAAAGCCTCTTTTCGTAGAAATCCAAAGATTTATTATTTCATTATGATACTAATAAGCGGTTTACAGTGTTCGATATTTATTTTTAATTCTTCCAATGTTCCTAAGCTGCAAAAATGAGCTTCATTTGAAAATATGATTTTTTTACCAAAATTAGGGTCAATTTCTAATTGCTCTAGAGCAGGGGTGGCCAACCCAAATGATTTCGCGGGCCACTTTCGAAATGTATCATAACTCCACGGGCCGCATATAAAATTATGAATCCCCATATTAGATTTAGACCCATTACAGACATTTTTTTGATCTCTTTATTTTAAAATCAAAGTTAATTTTTTCTCATAATTTCGACAGTTAATTTATGAATATATGGATGCAAAATTAATGTACTTTTTTAATACATTGATTTTCACTACTTTGGCCAATATAAAATAGATATATTTTGTAACAGTGTGATGAACCCCTGCTCTAGAGCCTCCGTCAGCAATATACTCTATTTACTATCGTTGAGAGGGTAGCCCTTTGCGAGCTGTTCCACCCCCCCCCCCCTCCCACAGGGTGCCTATGGGGTGCACGGTATGGGTGATAGGATTTTCTGGATCAGGGGAGTCCAGAGAATGCATTGAGCCCAAAATCGAGACTGTCGTCCAAAAATTGTGGATTCTAGGGGGTTGAGGTGTTGCGAGGGGTGGGTTTGTCTGAGAGCGATTTCAAGGGGTGCATTTTGTAGGGGGCATCAAACAGAGTCGCCTCAAAGGTTTTTTTGATTTTTTCACCCTCTTCCGTCGCCCCTGGACCCTTCTGAAGTGCCGTTTTTCTGCATTACCCCTTTAGGGGGGTGAATTAACCCTTTATCATCAACCCTTGTCAATGAAACCTTGCACACACCCAGAGGACACTTCAAAACTAAACCTCACGAAGTTTCCCGAAGATCGGTTGAAAACTCTCGGAGTTATGACGTTTTAAAATAGTGTCCCGTTTTTTTTTTGACGGCTGGTGTATAAACTATAATCTTTATGAAGTGCATGTTGATTATTTGCAAAAGAACGTTTACTGAGGCCGATATAATAAATACTTCCTTCGTCTCCTGCTAACCTTATGTTCTCTGAAGCAAATTGAACGTCGAATAGGACATTTTTAAGATCTGAAAGAAATATGTAAGCTTAGGGACGATGGTTAGTGTAAATTTCTATCGGCAACTAGTTTACTTTTTACTCACGCTGACGAAGGTGTTCAGATCAATGGTGAACACGTACGCAGTAGTTAGGTTGATCGGCTTCATCGTTCTTCTCATGATCATTAATAAGTTTTTCTTAGCGGTGTTTGCGAAAGGCACCCAATCTAGCTGAGAAATCGTGTCCACGATTTCAACGCTCTGCTCTTGCAAACGTTAAGAAATACTAACGTTACTGTTGGTTACTTGAGTAAGTGTTTGCATATCGAATAATAGAAAAAATGATATTATTTATTCAGTGTAATAAACGTAGCGGAGAACTACGCATAGGCTAGTGTAATGATATTGAATTTATGAATATACTATATGAACTAAAAAATGTACATTACATATGTACATGTTGATGCACAGGGTCAATCACCTTAGACTTGTATTTAAAAAATTCAAGTAAATTATCTATCTAATTGTTCAAAACCTTGTCAATGAATTCACACGTTATTACTTCACTTCAATAAGCATGAATTTGTCATAAAATAACTTTTCACTTCTCGAAAAAAAAATCACTCAAAAGCCACACTCGTACTAATGAAGATGCCTTTTAATTTGTTTCTTCAAATTATCAAAACAGCCGGAATCGTGTCTTAGTAAATTTTATTCATTACATTCTTAGTAAATTTCTATTTTTAATCGATTATGTAATTATCCTCATTATCAACAACCTTTTGCCATTTAGTGTGCAAATACAATTTTTTTTTAAGGGATACGGAAAAGCAAAATATAACTCGTATAGTATTGACTGTTTCTTTATGAAAACAATATCTTATATACATCAAATATGTGCAAATATGTATGCGAAACAAAATTATTTAAAAAGGTTTTTCGATTTCTTTGAAAAAATGTCGCAAAAACTCCTATAAATTACAAAATAGATTTAAAACTGGAAATACCTCCTTAAAGGATGAGACGGATTTCTAATCAAGTTTGCGATCGATAAAGACTACTCTTTAAAAACAGTTCTCGTTAATTGTTTATTTATTCATTAATATTCATTTCTGATATTTTCACAATTCTTATATAATAGTGTAATCATTGAATCAATATTTTCAATTACCTTCAGTTTAAGTTGATTTCCGTACCAACAGTAGATAAAAATTTGCGTCGTCATGCATATCATATACATGGCGAATTCCAAAAACTTGAAGCTTGTCGGCGGCGTATTTGCCAATTGGTACATGGTGAAGCACACCACCAACGTGCTTGATAGAAACTGCACACCGATCATCACCTTGAACGTCTCTTGTATCGTGGAAATGTATCTGAAAGGTATAGGCAGTTATGTTTGAAAATAAGAAGAAAATTTTGTGTGAAATTTACTAGTTAATACAATTTGTGAAATTAACCAAAAAATGCGAAAAGTGGGTAAAAGGATAGGAGCAATAAACATTTGTACGAATCTTATGACGAACCATTTACAGTAGAGTTTGTAACGTAAACACAGTGTATTGCTCCGTACGAATTAGAAAACATCAAATTTCCAGGAAAGTACTTTTAAAAATGGCTCTAATAGAGCAATTGAGGAAGGTCCCACTTCGAATAACTAATAATTTAGTTATTTTAATGCTTAGAAGAGTTACAATAATTATAAAATCAAAAGGAAATCCTATGAAGGAAGTAATTACATACTTGTAAATTAATGTAAATTTCATTTTTTTTTAATGCAGTTTTAAAAATTAAACAGTTGTGCGAATACTTATTGCTCCAATATTTCTATCGATTAATTGTTTTTTTCTTGTTAATTTCGCAACTTACATAAATAGGTATTGTTTTTTTGTAAAGTATCTATTCTAGAGATTTCCGAGAATATGTAGAATGTCGTTGTTTATAAAAAAAAAGTTAATAAATTACAATTTTACATAGTTTTTTTTTTTTAAATTGATCGGTGTACGAATACTTTCTACACCCACTGTATATCCCACGAGGGTTGAAAGGACCAATGTATTTAATCTTGGCACAATAAATACTTGTTATTATTATCATTATAATTATCATTATGACAATTATTAATATTATCGTTCCTGAAGAATACCTTCTTCTGCGACCTAATGCCATAAGGAAAAATAATAAATGCTCAAAGCTTGTTCACCACTTTCTGTTTCAGAAAAATTGTAAAGATTGAAACCAACTTGTAGAGAAAGTTGTGGAAATGCACGAGTTTTCCAAAATCCGGTACTGTTTTTTGTGTGAATTCCTTCAACCTGTGCTTCAGGATTTCCTGCTGACTGCTCGCGTGAACGTACAGACCGATAACAATCACGTCGCAAGCCACGTTCATCAGCGATACCGCGACCAGAGATACCAGCTGGTGACTATAAGCGACGTAATAAAGATTCTGATCGGTGTAATTGAAAGGCAACCATGCTCTGTACGTCAGCTTTCTATTCCGGAAGTTGGTGAATAGTGACGTCAGAATCATGCAAAGGACCGTCATCTCCACCAAGATTGTATAATAAATCGTGAAGAGCCTGCAAACATGTACAAATTCTTTAGTCGGGACTGGCAACCAATTGCAATTGTTGGTCAAACAATTGGAGGAGAATCCATATTTGGGTGCTTATAGAAGAAACTAAGATTTACAAGATAAGATTCAATTCTGGTTCAGGCGAGAATAGGATACCTAATAAATATAGGTGTCGAGTTTGAAGTAAATCGATTAATTAGTTGTTGAGATATCAAATCTGCCAGCTTAAAAAATGCGATTTTCAGAAAGTGCTTTTCTGATTTTGTCTGCGCGCGACTACACGTCGTTTGCTATTCACTTTCAAGGTCTATAATTTGGTCAATTTTTTTATTTCAATTAAATCCTTTTAGAATTATATTTTTAACATATTAGATTGACAAAAAATATTTAAATAATGTTCATTTTTTAATCTGTCACACTAGACCTCTCAAATCGTCACAAAAATAATGTAATAATGTCCGTTTACCCGATTCTTTTGTCGAATTTTCTCTGAATCGTCACCTCCGCGGTGTTGATTGGTTTGCAAGGTTCCTCTTCGAGTTTCCTCGTCATGATTCTAATGTTTTCATGATTCATCAGAAGCGTAACGATCTTACAACAGGACAAGCAATTCGCGATGAACATGTAGACGCTATCGCTGAGCTCGTCCGCCGTTTCCACGTTCAGTATCACGTTCAGAAGTTGCGATGCCCAGAAACTGTATATCAAAAGGAATACGAGTATCGTGTGTATCCCATACAATACTCTTTTGGCTATCGTAGACCAGCCGCTTGGTCTCCAGCATCCGCAAATTGTCAATATATTGAACGCTGGTCGCAGAATCATCTTTCACTCGAAGAAATTTATTTTGATCTTGATAAATCACTATCACCGAAAAACTATTCTTAATTTAAAGAAACTTCTATCGTCTGACGAAACTTTATTCGATTAAATATATCTTGTATCTGTCGTTACGCCAATTAAGATACTGCTCGACAGTTGCCGACGAACTAGATCAGACATATTGTACGTTTTTTTCCGCGACAAGATATCGGGACAAAATTTCGCAAAACACTGTCGTCGACGGGTCGTCTATATTTACAGAAAGTTATATCCGCATTTCTGTCGCGAAAGACACTGTGCACATCCGCTATAATATGCACGCAACGTATCATTCTCATAATTCCTACCATGTTACGGCGTAATAATTGAATTTTTATGAATCCTCTTGAGAAAGTCCCTTATCCTTAGATCCATAGTTTTAGTATTCTAAGATATTACCAGATGTCGTTTACAGGGGCCGAAGAAACATTAATAGAAAATCGTTGCGCAGCACAGTATAATTTATTTATCTTGCAAAAAAGAGTTGGGAGACACTCCTGTCTGATTTTAATGTGCTTTGCCAGAATAGTAGCGTAAAGATTCCTGTTGCAGTGTAGAAAAGATTAGGCGTTGATGCTCTATATTATTTGAAGGATACGAATAATTAATGTTACATAGGATGAAACTTACAATGCATATTGTGTATAATATCAGTTTTATCAATATTGTCGCAGTTAAACAGGCGGTAGATGGTGGTAACGTGAAATTGTAAAGAGCTTCCAATTTTTCTTTGCATCTGGAAGATCGATAATGTGACATAAACAATAAAGCGTAAAAGCAAACAACTCCACGAATTTCTCTCTTGCAAACACAAGTATGCTCTTAGTATCGGTGTTTCAGCTTACAAATCCAGGATGATAGTACCAAGCACCAAAGAAATGAATGAAATAGCTTTAAATGAAATAATAATCTAGAGATGAAGAGAAAATACGATTAAGTTTATTATATTATACAAGCACAAATAACAAAAAATAAACAAAATTCTAGATGTAAAAATAACGAAAGTCAAGAAAGTTGCAAGGTTCTTGAATTAGGTTGCGAAAACGCAAATAAAAAGAAAAATACAATTAAAAAGTGCGGATTACATAAAACATTAACAAAGCAGCAAAACGCGGAAATAAACGAGTATCAATAAAGTCGTAAAACGTAAAGTATCTAAAAAACTAACCGAACAATTTGTGAAACGCGAAATATCTGAAAAAATCAACGAAGTTGTAAAGTGCAAATTGCGTAAAAAATTAACAAAGTTGCAATACTTAAAATAAACGAGTTATCAATAAAGTTATAAAACGTGAAATAAGTAATAGTTATTAACGTATCAAACGTGAAAGTTGAAAGCAGTAAAATCACAAACCTGAAAATAGCGAAACAACAAAGTTGCAAACCGCTAAAAAAAATCGGCATCGTTGCGAATCCATAGAATGGCGCCAATTAATGTGGTTCATTAATTCACAACAGATCATCAATGAGCAAGGTAATTTAAATTTTAAAGATATTTTCTTCTCGACATTTTTGTATTAAAATAAAGTGCATTAACAGTACAGTACAAATGGTTACCAATATATTTGTTAACTACAAGTTCGTGTATTTTACATTATACTTATTGCTACTATGTATTCCGTGAAGTATAAATATTTTAATTAATTGTAGCTAACAAATACAAATGTCTTTTCTGCTGGAAGATTCTTTTTTAAAAAATAATGTTGTACAAGCAACAATATAAGCTTTTGTACAATACAAATTCATACAAATTCTATATGTACATTCTACAAGCATTTAATTACGTTAATTGTACAAAATTAATTGGTTCCATCTGGACGCGATCTTCCCGCGACTTTCGGCATCTTCTTATTCGTGGAGTCCTCTAGTTCTTTTGGTTTGTAATAATGCGGGGCGACTTCCAAAAGCCATTTGCTTTCAATCTCCGTCACCTATGACGATTGAAAAGAATTGTTTTAGAAATCAGATAAAGTAACCAGTGACGTAACCAGAAACTCCAAACGGATAATCCAACTTTTGTTATACAGTAAATCCTCGTCCTCTGCGCTTTTACCTTGCGCATTACGCGGCGCCTGTTTCTCAACTGGTAGCGCTACTGTTCTTATAACGGAAAGTATTATATTCGAATTGGATTAATCTTTAGAGAATTAGATTAATTGTTGAACAAATTGTTTAAACATTTAATAACGTTAGATTTAATGCGAGATCTGGTGGACATAACAGAACAACAAGCCGTGTAGCACTCAATTTTATTTAATGTTCAAGATGAAATGAATACAATGTGTTCGAAGATAACTTTATGTGTAGAATACAAAATAAAAAAGAAACAATATTCTTCGATTCTCCTTTTTTTATTTAAAAGATATGGATCTCAAATTGTAAAACTTTTTTTCAACTAATTGGCCCACATATTCTTTCATTTCTGCTTGGAGCAAACTGCTGTTTCTATTTGCTACAAATAGTTTTTAAATGCACTTCTCCGAGTTTTTATATTGGTAATGGTAAAATGGTTTGCATCATCAACATTTCGTGCTAAGCTTGTTGCACTGTTAAGTTTTTTATTTAGGGGAACGGAAGTTAACCCCAGCCATTGCAAAAAAAATAAACTTCACGTTGTTTTACCATGTTTGTTTTGATATCTCTAGAAACGTTACTGTTACTGTTGAACTTGATTGGTTAATGCATTTTGACGTGAAGAATAAAACTAACAAGAGGCCCATCAAACATGGTATCAATGGATTTTGGTGAAATTCAGGTATGTTGTAGAAGTATCTTCCCTAAGTACGAAGTTAACCGGAATTTCTTCAATAAGGCATAGTTTCCGAAACAAAATTTTACGCGCGGTATATAGGTATACCAATAACCGTGGCCAGTTATCAAGGAAACGAGCGTGACGTAGTTGGTAAGATTTGTGAATGTCACGCTATTGGATTATGTTCAATTCCCGTGGACTAACTTTTCTTGTTGCTCACCTATATCCATTTTAACAATTCATTCAAATGCATTTACATAGAACAATCCTTTGGAAAATGAGTGGACCATATTGGATCCGCCATTTCACTGTGCTCGACACAGTGCTGCAATGTTTATAATGACTTTGCAACGAATGGAGCAAGTAAGCACAAGATTCTTTCGCATATTCTGGGAGAACACACTTTAATCTACATATTTCATATACACATTCCTTGCGATTTCCGGCGATCACAACACTCTTTATGATTTACGAAAACAATGCTTTCAAAATAAACGTTTCTATCGATCTGCATTTGGCGCCATTTTTTTTAACACTTATTGACTGAAAATTAATGAAAACAATTACAGATACATATTCTAATACTAATCTCCAAAACTAGTATCCATGAAAAAGAAATTTGAAATCCCAGTTGTACAAAAGATTATTATTACTTGAAGCACGAGCAATATTTTTTGAGCGGTAGGCGTAATGCATGCTGTCTCGAGGAAGGTAACTTTGATCGACCGTACAATCAAAAATGAGTGTTGGCGAAATTTTATTTGTGAACTTTTATAGAGGAATACCTCGTTTACAAAATTCCAATGTCGAAAATTCTAAATTTCAACTCTCATTTTTTGATTTTTGAACCAGGGTTTTGGGGATTTGAACCACTGTGCACCGGAGAAGAACTCAGAACAGTGCGATTTTGATATTGTTGCCAACACGAAGAATTTAATAGAAAAGTGCAAAAGTGATAAGAAGTTACCATAGACGATAAAACACGTGAAAGCTTGCGCGGCAGAAAACAGTTTCGCTTGAATCTCGAAATAAAACTGAGTGTGTTATTTGTGGCGAAATTTTTAATGAAAATTGGATTTAGAGCCATATTTGTAATAGATGAGCTCACGAGGCATGTGTGGATATTAATCTTTCTCGTAAGTATCGCAATTTTGATCATTCTATTGAAAAAGAACTATTTAAATCTTAAATTTTATGGTGGCCAGGGCTAGCCAACATTTGTAAATAAATGTTCCTGAATTACCTTAGAGTACTTGTTTTTATCTTTATGTACCTTGCTATATGCGAAATATTAAAAAACAAAAAGTGGCCGAGGGTACCCTCCGTTCTTTTAATCGTTAGTCGTTCTTGAGTTACATCAAGATTAACGAGGCTAGTTTTTATGAAAATACAGAAATTTAAATACTTAAAAAATCTTTTATCCAAAAGTATTAATTCTTCTTTTAGTTATTTTGAGTAGAACTTACAGCTCACAATCACGATTAACGATAAAATACATTTTTGTATCAACAAAGATAATACAGCCAATGTTGAGGGTAAGTTGTAATTAATCAAATAATCCATAGAAAAATTAAAAACAGTTTACTAATTACAAGATCTTGTACGTTTCTGGCAAAATCATATTGACCACATTTTTGTTATATGAAATGATGGTTTTCTTCCTCACTATTAATTTTCAACTCTGATAAGATTATAAGTTTGAAATTTATAATGCACCAAAACTTTATATCGAAAACGTTTCAGAAATTGATTAAAAATCGTTCTTTCTAAAATTCCAGATGAAACTACTCCCTTAAGTTGTTGGATCTTAAAAATTATACTTTCAGAAGCCTACCTGTCGCATAAATTCTTTTGTGGTGAAAACCAGCTCATGGTACAGCAGCCAACGCGGTAGTTCTTGAAAAAGTGAACTATTCGGATGAATCGATACCGTTTGATTGTGCTTAGCCGTCTTGTAATGACCACCTTTAGACAATCGAGCTACGTGGTAGAAGTAACCTGCTGTGATAGCCTGAAAGGAACCATACACGGTTTTCAATTAAAATAATGTGATGTTAATTATTTTCTTGTATAATATTAAATAGTATTTTAGATAACCTTCACAAGTTGTGAAGAGGACAAAAACGTATAGAGTAGCGAACAAAAGATTCAGAAAAAAAGGAAAAAAGAAATAAATTATTTGTTTCGTATGAAAAATTTAATTCAAACGAATTTTTTTTATGCTAACGAATTAAACATTACGTTACATGTTAACTACAAAAATTACATCCTGAGCCTAAACATATTACCTACAATAATAAAGACGAATATACAGGGTGTCCCAGCCTAAACGATACAGAGCTCTAACTCCAAAACTATCGATCAAATGCAAAATTTCAAATATGGAAATTACATGGTAAAATGGGGCTCATGTTTCAACGAGAAGGAATTTTTGTTAACTTTGTTATTTGACAAGATATGATGGTCAAGTTTTGTTTTTCAAATGGGGCTATATACACTAGCGGACAAGCAAACCGGAACGATTTTTCAAATGCTTATAACTATGAGAGTTTTCAACCGATTTCGGTGAAACTTCGTGAGGAGTAGCCTTGAAGTGTCTTCTGTTCGATTTCAAGAACCGCATGGTGCTTACTGCATCAATGGGACCGCTTGTGGCTGGACCGAGTTTTTTCATTTCAAAACTGATCTAGGCGTATGTTTGCCCGTGAATAATTTTTAAGAAATTGTTGTGTCAAAGTTTGAGAATATAAATAGTTGAAATCTCGAAAAAAATAAGTTAAAGTAATGCAAAGTTTCACGATTAAAATAAATTCAACATATTATTAACAAATATCGAAATTTGCAGTTGTCGCAATTAAATTCTCTGATATCTCCATGATATTTCTCGGTTGCATTAACTTCCCCGATAATTCCTGACATTTCTGGTTTGTAGCTACCCTGTTTTTATCAGTGTAATTCGGTGCACTTTTTCTCTTTTGTTACTTCCTAGTTATAAGATAAACTATCTCAGCAGTTTAAAACCCAATGAAAGAACTATTAAAATCATGGTTCAGTTCTTATTCGTTTGAAGAGCGTTGCCCTCTACTGGCATGGGTCGGATTTTGTATGGCTAAATGGTATGGCAAGAAGATAAAAGCTATTTAAACAGTTACCTTTCTGACGTTCACGGTTTCCGAGATCCCCGAAACGAGCTCCATCTCGACCCGCTGCATTAATCCGACCAATTGCTCTCTGACGTCCCTTGCCCGTTTCATCGACCGATGCTGAATGAAGTTTTCATAACACCAATGGGTGCTAAAATCGCTCTGCTGCCACTGATTGTACACGTTTAGCAGAGTGAGGTGATCGCCGCCTGGTACGTGGAAATTTTTTCTCGCCGTGTCCGCGTGTATGATTTTATCTTTTGGTCTGTAGAAGATGGCTCCATTCACTGACAACATCGCAGCGATGGTGGCAACCTCCTCCGAGCAACGATACTGTTCACTGGCTAATAGCATCTTGGCCATCATCGGGTCCAACGGGAACTCGGCCATTCTTCGTCCGAGTTTCGTCAGTTCTCCGCGATGATTCAAAGCTCCCAAAGCGTAGAGCTGCTCCAATGCTAGGACCAACGTTTCGTGTGGCGGTGGATCGAGGAAATCGAAATGAACCAAATCGTTTATACCCAATGCCTTTAGAGTGAGCACAGCGTTACCTGAAGTTGTATTATTCGATTACGTCACAACTAAGGTAGATCTAACCCTTTTCCATCTTCATTGTTTACTTTAACGAACATTGATCTTCAGCTGAACGAGATACACTAAGACGGCGACTGTTCGGCTTTTTTTTCAAGGAAATATTTACAGTGGGTGTAGAGAGTATTCGTACACCGATCAATTTCCAAAAAAACTATGTGAAATTGTAATTTATTAACTTATTTTTTATAAACAATAACATTCTACATATTCTCGGAAATCTGTAGAATAGATAGATTACAAAAAAATACAGCTATTTATGTAAGTTGTGAAATTAACAAGAAAAAAACAATTAATCGATAGAAATATTGAAGCAATAAGTATTCGTACAACTGTTTAATTTTTAAAACTTCAAAAAAAAAAAAAAAAGAAATTTACATTAATTTACAAGTATGTAATTACTTCCTTCATAGGATTTCCTTTTGATTTTATAATTATTGTAACTCTTCTAATTATTATATTGTAATTATATTGTAACTCTTCTATTAAAGCCATTTTTAAAAGTACTTTACTGGAAATTTGATGTTTTCTAATTCGTACGAAGCAATAAACTAATGTGTTTACGTTAGTGTATTACGTTAAACTCTACTGTAAATGGTTCGTCATAAGAATCGTACAAATACTTATTGCTTCTATACTTTTACCCACTTTTCGCATTTTTTTGTTAATTTCACAAATTATATTAACTAGTAAATGTTGTGTGGTCTATATCTATCTTAGAGACTTCCGATAATATGTAAAATACCATTGATTATAAAAAAAAAAGTTAAGAAACTACAATTTCACACAAAAGTTTTTTGGGAAATTGATCGGTGTACATTTTACACCCACTGTAGATATTTGTTCGTTTTACATTTTTCACCAAACAACAAGCGAAAGTAGCATAATTATTTTTAAAAATCAGCGTTCGATTATCGTAGCACATCTTTATTTTTCCGTTCTATTGTACCTATATCTTTTTATATTAAAAGTTTTGTTCCGTATAAATAAATTAAATTAAATTAAATTACCCAAGTTAATCCTCTGAATTTCAGGTACTGTATTATCTTCTAACTCGTGTTGATAAGCCCAGGCCGTATAGAGTCGGAAACACTTTCCTGGAGCTACTCTACCGGCTCTACCCGCTCTCTGATTGGCGGAAGCTTTACTGATTGGAACTACCATCAAACTTTCCATGCCTGTTCTCGAGTTAAAATTGTTCTGTTTTGCGAATCCAGGGTCTATCACGTATACTATGTTGTCTATAGTTAATGATGTTTCAGCTATATTAGTAGCGAGAACTACCTATAAAACAAATCACGCATGTAAGAAGAGGGAAAAAAATAATCCCGTTTAATAATTTTTCATTGATACCTTCCTAGCACCGAACGGAGTTGGCTGAAATATTTTCGCTTGCATATCGCTTGGAAGATTCGCGTAAACGGGCAAAATCATCAGTTCTCCCAATTTCGACCCTAATCGTCTCACTCTTTCTTGTAACATTTCCTGACACGTTTCTATTTCGTCCTGACCTGTGCGATAAAATTTTATTAAATGATTAAAGATTATGTATTGTCTATTGCAGAGGTTTCCAAATTAATTCGAGACGCTATCCTAAAAAAGATTTCATCTTTCGAGATCTATGGAAAAAACTTGTTTGAAATGTTTACGTTAATTAATTCGAATTTATACTTTTGTATTGCTTTTCTTTGATTAAAATTTCTACGCATTGAATAGGAAACATTATTTACAGAAAGCTTCACAATCTAAATACTTGCAAAATTCTCACATTAATGAAATAAATAATATTGTATTGAAAATGTTGAAATATATGTAATTTCTATGATATATGTGTATGTAGTAATTAACAGAAAATTATATGATACGGAACAAACGATCATAAAATATCAACTAATATGATTCTATAATTTCCTCGAATTAAAATCTTAAATAGAGACATTAATAAGGAGATAAGGGGACTGTCTAACGTAATGGAATATAGAAAAAGACGCTAACATGTTACCCACTTAGTATAGAAGAAAAATATATTTCTGTAAAATTTTCATTTGCTCCCTTTACTTTGAATAACAATGGTCTAGATCAGCATTTCTCAACCTTCTTTGTCTCGTCCATCTCTTTCGTAATATGTCAAAATGTAGATTTTATAACTTGATTTTATAACTGTGCTGTAGCAATCAGATCACTTACCTGTTAAAAACACGAGTATATCGCCAGGAGGTTGAGTAGCGTGTATTTGAAGGATGGAAACGACGGAGGCATCAATGTAATCCGCCTCGGGCGCTTTGGTGTAATAGATATCGACGGGAAACCGTCGACCAGGTATCCGGAAAATGGGAGCGTCGTCGAAGAACTCGCTGAATTTCGTCGCGTCCAAAGTGGCCGATGAAATCAACAATTTCAAGTCCTGTCGGAATCTCGTGATATCCTTTACCAATCCAAATAATATGTCAGTGTGTAATGTACGTTCATGAGCTTCGTCGATGATCATGACACTGTAAAGAATGTCAGAAATGAAGAAAATTCTTATCCTTATAATAAATTTTAAATAACAAAAAGAAGATAAATAACTTTGATTGCTTTTCAATAAAAGCGCCTATAGGCGTCCACAGTAGCTAAGAGGTTAATAAGAGTTACTATATATGTATATCTACCAAAATAGAATTTTTCTTAATTCTATCTCAGGTATATCGTGAACTCCCAATATTCTTACCTGTAAGAAGCCAAGTCTGGCTCGCTCAGAAATTCTCGATGGAGCGTACCGTCGGTCATGTACTTAATTCGAGTTCGATGGGAAGTGCAATCCTCGAAACGAATCGCGTAGCCCACTTCATTTCCCAATTTCACAGCCATTTCATGGGCAACTCTTGCCGCCACGGACATAGCAGCCACTCGCCTCGGTTGAGTACAGCCGATAATTTTGTTATCTTCTGCAAACCCGGACTCGTATAGGTATTGTGGGATCTGTGTGGTTTTTCCGGAACCCGTTTCTCCCTCTATTATCAATACCTACGATAAAAACGCAATATTGTAAAAATAGCGAAAGATTTTACTTTGCATGATACAAACATGTAAAATACCTGATGATCTTTGATAGCTTGAATCAAGTCGTTTCTGAAAGGGTAAATTGGTAAACTTTTTTTCGTTTCCTGTATAGTTTGTAATGCTTTCACTTGCGGTGGTGGACTCGCATCACGTCTTCGGTCTTTCTCGCTGCCAGGCATACGCAACGCC